TGTTTGCTCCACCTCTGTGGCTACCACCATCTTGGTTGGGTTTATTTGCATAGTCACTCCTGATTGGCTGGTGGGCGTGGCTGGTGGGTGTAGCAGAGGTACGGTCAGTTTGCATGTTTCTCTTTTATTAGATAAGAATAGAGGCCCGGTACACAAAAATTTGTGCACTCGGGGGGGGGGGGGGGGCCCAGCCCGGCCTGTGCCCTCTCGCAGTCTGGGACCCCTTGGGAGATAACGACCTGCTGGCTTAGGCCTGCTCCCAGGTGGCAGAGGGCACGCCCAATCCCTAGGTGCAGCCCCTGGTCAGGCTCAGAGCAGGGCTGATTGGGGAGTTGGGGCGCCGCTCCCTGTCATGCACAGAGCAGGGCGGATCAGGAGGTTGCGATGCCACCCTCGGTCACACTCAGGGTAGGGCCGATTGGGGGGTTGGGGCACTGCCCCCTGTCACACTCAAGGCAGGGTCGATGGGGAGGTTGAGGCGCCACCCCCTGTCACTCACAGAGCAGGGCCGTTCAGGGGTTTGGGGCGCTGCCCCCTGTCACTCACAGAGCAGGGCCCATCAGGGGGGTTGGGGCTCCGTACCCTGTCACACACAGAGCAGGGCGGATCAGGGGGTTGGGGCGCTGCACCCTGTCACACTCAGGGCAGGGCCAATGGGGAGGTTATGGCTCTACCCCGTCACACACAGAGCAAGGCCTGTGGAGGGGGGTTGGGGCACCACCCTATATCACCCACAGAGCAGGGCCGATCAGGGGGTTGGGGCGTCGCCACTGTCACACTCAGGGCAGGGCCGATGGAGAGGTTATGGCTCTACCCTGTCACACACAGAGCAGGGCTGATCAGGGGTTTGGGGTGCCGCACCCTGTCACACACAGAACTGCATGGCGATCAGGGGGTTGGAGAGCTTTCCCCTATGAGCACAGAGCAGGGCTGATCAGGGGGTTGAGGAGCTCCCCCCTGTCACGAACAGAGCAGTGCGGATGGGGAGGTTGTGGCCCCGCCCCCTGTCACACACAGAGCCGCAGGGCGATCAGGGGGTTTGGGCGCTGCCCCCTGTCACGCTGATCAGCTGATCCCGGTGCTGGGAGGCATATTACACTTTTACTATATAGAATAGAGGCCTGGTGCACGGGTGGGGGCCGGCTGGTTTGCCCTGAAGGGTGTCCTGGATCAGGGTGGGGGTCCCCACTGGGGTGCCTGGCCAGTCTGGCTGAGGGGCTGAGGGCCGTTTTCCGGCTGTCGGGTGACTGAAGCTCCCAACTGCTCCTTTTTTTCTTTTTTTCTTTTTATTCTGTTTTTTTCCAGCTTTAGCTCTGAGGCCTCGCTGCTGAAAGCAGGTTTCTGGCCTTTACCTTCTGTATTTGATACAATGTTGTGGTCCGGCTGGCTGAAGCCTGGCTGACTAATGCAGGTTTCTGGGGTTTTGTTTAGCTTCTATATTTGCAACATAGTTGCTTAGAGTTGCAGCTGAGAGGCTGGCAAGTCAGGCGGGGAACGTTGGAGTCCGCCGTCACTGGAGCAAGCAAGCCTCCCTGTTCGCTTCAGTGCATGGCTGCTGCCGCCATCTTGGCTGATAGTTAATTTGCATAAGGATATGCTGATTAGCCAATGGGAAGGGTAGCGGTCGTACGCTAATTACCATGTTTCTCTTTTATTAGTGTAGATTTCATTTTAGCATCACTTTTGGAATCTTTTGGGGGTGAGGAGGTATCTTGGTCCATTCAAGCAGATATAATAGCATACCATAGACTGAGCAGTTTAAAAACAACAGAAATTTGATTCTCACACTCTAGAAGCAGCAGGTCTGATATCAGCATGCCAGCATGTGTGTGTGAGGGCCCTCTTCCTCATTCATAGCTGGGGCCTTCTTGCTGTGCCCTCACATGGCTGAGGGAGCTAGAGAGCTCTGTAGGGCTTTTTATAGAAGCACTAACCCTAGCCATAAGGGCTCTACCCTCTTGACCTAACCACCTCCCAAAGGTCTCAGCTCCCAATACCATCATCTTTGGGGGTTAGGACTTCAACAGATGAATTTGTCAGGGTGTGAGGAACCACAAACATTCAGAATATAGCAGGAGGAAACCATCATTTAATAACAATTATTAAATTAATGTATAAAAAGTGTTTAGAAAAATGCCTGGCACATTAAAAGCGCTACATACATTTTGCTATTTTTATTATTACGTAGTAATATAATTTTCATTATTATGTAGTGCTCATCTTGGCTGATTGTTTCTTTGGATACAACACATAGAAAAAGCACTGTCCTGTGTTGGGAGATAGGGTCAGCAAACACTCCCCCATCTGAGGCCTGTGGCAGACATTGCTAATAAACCATGGCACTCTCCTGGGTAAGTCCGAAGCTGTCTACAAACCTCCTATCCCTCTAGGCAGCCAGCACCAAGCAGTTGGCTTTGGCACCTGAGAAAAACATTTGCCATCCCAGAACCTCAGCTTGGCCTGCACCCTCTTGCAGTCTGGGAGCCCTCTGGGGATGTCTCACTGATGGCTTAGGCCCGCAGGGAGCAGGACTAAGCCAGCAGTCAGACATCCTTAGCACTGTCACGGAGGCAGGAGAGGTTTCTCCTACCACCACTGCGCTCGGTAGCCATAAGCCCAGCTTCTGGCTGAGCGTTGCTCTCCCTGTGGGAGCCCACTGACCACCAGGGGGCAGCTCCTGCATTGAGCATCTGCCCCCTGGTGGTCAGTGCTTGTCATAGCAACCGGTCATTCTGCTGTAAGGCCGAAACCAGCTCTCCAACATCCCCCAAGGGGTCCCAGATTGTGAGAGGGTGAAGGCCAGGCCGAGGGACCCCACTGGTGCATGATCGGGGCTGGGGAGGGACACTGGAAGTTGGCCAGCTGGGGAGGGACCACAGGAGGGCTCCAGGGTTTGTCCAGCCCATCTCACTCAGTCCTGATCGGCCAGACCCCAGCAGCAAGCTAACCTACCAGTTGGAGTGTCTGCTCCCTGGTGGTCAGTGCACGTCATAGCGAGCAGTTGAGCAGCCTTAGCATATCATTAGCATATTACGCTTTGATTTTGTTGAACGGCCGACTGGACGACAGGACACTTAGCATATTAGGCCTTTATTATATAGGATCATTTGTGGGCCATACGAAATTATCAATTAGCCTGCTATTTTTGGTCGAATATTTAATTAACTCACCCCTAAGGCCTTGGTGGGGCTAGACCAAATGATTTCATGGGCCTTACATGGCCCCCAGGCTGGATGTTCCCCACCCCTGCAAACAGACCTCAGGTACTCCGACACTCACAATGAAATAGGTGTGGTGAAGTCAAGTTATTCTAAGTATGTTCAAGACTTCCCCATTCAAGGAAGTCCAGAGTGAAACCAAGGCCAAACCTATTTGCCACCTCCACACCCAGGCACATTCTTGATTGACCTCTTCACACTGAGATTCTTAATTTTTGTTTTTTTGTTGTTTTTTTCTGAATTACTTCTCAGTGATAAGTAGGTCTGAATTTTTCCCAAGTGTTTAGAATTAGCTCTTTTTTTGAATCAAAGGTTTGGTTCTAAATGAAAAGACACTGGTGTGGTTTAGTGGTATGGGTTCCTGGTCCATAAAATAAAAGAAACCTTCAATTACATGCAGAAATAATTGCGTAAAAGCTCAAAAGCCTTCACTGTACTTTGAGTAGTGTATTTTACTTCATTACAAGGTAAAAAGTTTTTCTGGTTCTATATTTTATGAAGAACAAAAACATACATTTAAACATTCTATAATGAAAGTTACTACTTGTCCCTATAAGCCAGCTCTGAAAACTCTTTTAGCCTTTCATTTGGGCTAATTTATATTTTTAGTTCAGCCACATCATACTGGGGCTTTTTAACTTTCCCATCTGTAGTATTAATATCCAACCTCAATCTAACCAACATTTATGAGCATCACAGAAATTGAAAACATATTTCTAAAATATTTTACATATATAAAATTCCATTAAAGGGCTGAATAAACACACACACACACACATACATGTATATGTATATATGTATGGATAGATATAATTTAAAAAATCATTTTCCATTTTAGATTTTCAAATTCCTTAGCCTAGAATAAAGGGCACATTAAGGTAACCAACATTTATGAGCATCACAGAAATTGAAAACATATTTCTAAAATATTTTACATATATAAAATTCCATTAAAGGGCTGAATAAACACACACACACACACATACATGTATATGTATATATGTATGGATAGATATAATTTAAAAAATCATTTTCCATTTTAGATTTTCAAATTCCTTAGCCTAGAATAAAGGGCACATTAAGGAAGTCATGTCCCAGTTCATAGTGACTGCATATTGCAATTGCTTGTGACTTCCAATCCGAATCTTTCTAGTTCTTGTTATAGTCACTTCTGTGACTATAGCTCAGCTGGCCTGTGGCTTCCAGGAGCTGTCTTGAAACTGCCCTCAGATGTGAAAACAGTGGGAAGCATCCTTTTCACATTTGTGTACAAGGTAAAATAATAAAAGGATCAGAACCCTTATATCTCAGAATGTATTTTCCTCTGATAGTTTTACAAAATACTCCATGTGTAGAACTTGTGTAACAGATTCCTTTCATATGTTCTGATCTCAAGGTGCCAAAGGACTTTTCTCTCCTAAGAGATCTTGGTTCCTATGGGCAGTGTACTTCCTTGGGTGTGTCTGTGCCTCAGCCTTCGGCCACTGTGGGCAGATAGAGATTCCTTCTACCCTGAGTGCTTTGTTTTGGTTTTTGAAAGAGAATCCAAAATAGGTTGAGTTCTATGCCACCTTGCCAGTGATTTAGTCATGCGTGTTGCTGATATCAACTTTAAAAAGTGATAACAGCAGCACTTTTGTTTTTGGCCAAACAAGGCCATAAATTATAAGAAGAATTCACCAAAGACAGAAGGTCCACGAGTGAGCCTGTTTTCATTGAATTGGTATTTGTACAAGGTGACACCCTCTTTCACACCACCCACCTCCTCCCTGAATGACTCACCCCCGAGGGAGAAGCCTCTGAACTGCTCATTAGCGCGAGCAGGTGAAGTGGAAGCGCCACTCAGCCCACTCCAGGTGCTCAGGCGTTTCAGCTGGACCCGCCTCGGGGAATCAGGCAGGCTGTTCAGACAGAAAGTCCTGGTTTTCAGTCAAGAGAGGTAAGTTGAATCATATTTGCAAACAAATATGTCTGCTTTACTTGCATAACTTCCTTTGTTTTCTAAGCAAAAGATTAAAATTAGAACTTAGTATTAAATTTGTCTTTTTCCAGTTAAATTTTGACAACTTCCAGTGGGCTGATC